GGGGGGGGATCATGCGATAATGGGGGCCTGCAGGTAAGCACGTTTATTGCGACCGTCGACTGACAAAGGGAGCGCCGAAGAAGAATAAAAAAAAAGAAGGCACGGATGCGGCTGCTTCCACACCTTTGAGACTAAAAAAGTTTGCTTACGTCCGCGTAATAGCGGAGTTCCAGAGACGTTGTAGGAGTTCACTGGCTGGGTCGCGATACTCAGACTTCAAAACTAGTTCCCCGTTTGTCCCATTAAACCCCCCTCGCCTCCCACACTGTATAATTGCATTTTTTTTCACATTCACTACCTTTCTGTAGCGTATAGTATTTTAAAAGCCCGTGGTTGCGAATATGGATAACTGCTTGTGCCAAAGTGCAGTCACTGGGTGCCGCAGGTTTGTAATGCTAGAATTGCAATTAATAGACGCCATCTACTAACGTTCCTTTTCCTTTAGAAGAAGCTGCAGATCCTGAGGAGCACGTTTCAGCAACCCTTAGTTATCATGCTTTTCCCATTGCAGGGAGGGACAGGAATACGCGCTGGAGATAAAAACTATAGCTATGGAGGATGCAGCCAAGTACTCCTGTAAATGCAATGAAATCAGTACAACCTGCACGCTGACAGTAGAGGAGAAAAAGTACGTTTATTATTTCAACCAGAAGCTACCGAAGACGGCCGAAGTGGTTCGCGGCAAAGATCTTACCCTCGAGTGTTCGGTTTCCGATCCTCGTGCTCCCGTCGTCTGGTATCACAACGGTGAGAAAATAGAGGTGAGCTCCGAGACTTATTTCAACCGTCCACAGCCGCGATCGTGCCCTCTAATACTTGAAAACTATATTAAGCGAATTCTAGACTTGTATTTGAAGCGCCATCTAGTCAAGAAGAGTATCTCGTACTATGTAACAAATTTAGTGACAGCTATAGGAGTCGAAGCAGTGCTTGGACTCAGAGCACTACAATTAACACGCCCTTTGGGGAGGAAGGGGTGAGCCACCAGTAGGGGCTGTGTATTCTGTGCAGAATCTCAGTGGGGGTCAGAGACTCCGACTACCAGCAAGCTCAGGGCCTGCACGCCCATTTCTCCGCTAGAATGGTGTGGACGTGAATGCATAAACGCCCTGTGAGAGTGAGTCACCGGCCGCCTGATTAGTTGATAGGCCAATAGTAGTTTGTGGGCATCTGTGATTGGCTATCTCAGCGGC